CTCCGTGTAATACTCTCTCTGACTCAAAAATGCATCTATATACTATATAAATGCTAAATTGGGTGTAATCCGAACCAAATGGTTTGGATCAATCTTAATATGGCTCGATGAAATTGGATTAGGTTCGAAGTGGCTCGAACCACTTAACCTATGGTTTGAACCCACTTGGGTTGGGTTCTAGTCTAGAGAGGGAGATAGAAGAAAATGAAAAAATGAATTAATTGCAAATGATCCAAAAGGGGGGCATTTATAGAAACAGAAATGCCTTTTCGAATGGAGTGCGTCTTTTCATCATTGGACACAACCATTGCAATAGGTTGCAATGGTTCACATGGTGTCTATTCACCACTAGACACATCCATTCCAATAGGTTGCAATGGTTCACATGGTGTCTGTTCACCAATAGACACATCCATTCCAATAGGTTGCAATGGTTCACATGGTGTCTGTTCACCAATAGACACATCAATTCCAATAGGTTGCAATGTGCCTTTTCGAGTGGGTGCAACTATGGGTTATGATGCTTCGGAAAAAAGTGTAACCCTTTGGAAAAAACTAAAAGTGGTTTTTTAATTTAAAAGGTGTAACCTTTTAGAAAAACTAAAAAGTAGTTTTTTTTAATTCAAAAAACCAACCACCCAAAAACCCCACTCATTTGTGAAACCCATTTAAATAAGCCCAGCCCAAAATTAAGCCCAATTCAAAATTCCAAAAAAGAATAGTCTGAACTTTACAATTAGGCCCAAGCCCAAGCCCAAATCCTAAACTCAGCTTATTTAAATTTCAATTTGTTTTAACATTTTTTCCATGTGGGACAAACACTTCCCACATTTTGCATACCCATTTAGGCTTATCAAAACACTACACTTTGGAGTTAATTTCTCATTCATCCGGAAATGGATTTCAGAAAGTAAATATACCATGTTCATCTCCTTGCGGAGAGAAACGCGCTTGTCTAGAGATCCGTAAAAAATTATTAGCAGGATTTATTTCAAATCTTATCCAAAGTTTATGTTTTTAATGCCCCCATTTCCAACAGATTTGTGACCAAGGTGAAAAGAAGAGGGGAGAGAGGGCATCCCTGTCTCAATCCAGGTTGAATAAATCCAGCCGGTGACCAATTAATCAACACTGAATATCTAGTAGTAGTAGATAGGATGGAGGAGATCCATGTTATCCATTCATTACTGAAACCATGATTTTGAAGCACCTGCAACAGAAACTCCCAAGAGACTGAGTCGTACGCCTTCTTTAAATCCACCTTCATAGCCATAGAACAATGTCGAGGAAGGTTGAAGTCTCTAACCAGCTCATTCGCCATAATTAATGCATCTTGAATTTTTCTCCCCTTGATAAAAGCACACTGTTCAATTCCTACCAATTCAGCCAAAACAATAGACAATCTATTAGCCATGATTTTGGTAATAATTTTGTAAACCACATTGCATAAAGCAATAGGCCTAAAATCTCCAATCTTAACTGCATTCCCTATCTTTGGAACAAGGGTGAGAAAACAACTACCAACTCCCAAAGGCATAGCAGCAGTTCTGAAAAAATGTTGTACAGCAGTAACCAAATCATTATCAATAATATTCCAAAAAGTTTGGTAGAAGCGAGACGGGAACCCATCTGAACCTGGAGCCTTATCTGGGTTGAAATTCATAGCCACATTCTTCACTTCCTCATAATCAGGTAGCCTATCAAGCATAGCTTTATCTACCTCTTGGATTTGATTTACTGGCATATCATCCCACAGATTTGGAGAATCCCTTTTAGCAAAAAGATTCGTATAATAATCCACAAACCGCGCCTTAATCACCACTAAATCAGAAGTTGTAACTCCCTCTTCATTTTCCAGGCAAGTTTTCCTGTGTCGTTTCAGATTCTGATAGAAGTATGCTGTACACCTATCATTGTCTGTCAACCACTGAACTCTGGATTTTGGAGCCACCAAAACTTCTTGATTAGAAAGAGCAACATTTAATTCCTCCCTAGCTGTTTGTTCTGAATCAAAAACTGCATCAGTTGGAGCTGCTAACAATTCCAACTGAACAACTTCCAAATGTTTTCTAGCCTGGCACACCTGTTCCCCTAAATCCCCAAAACAATTTTTATTCCACTCCTTAGTAGCTGCTTTAACAGACCTTAATTTCTTTAAAAATCAATGTAATGGACTGCCAAAAACCTCCACATCCCAAGCCTGTTGAACAACAGAACCAAAGGCCTTTTCAACACACCAAACTTTCAACATCTTAAAAGGCTTGGCCCGTGAAGCAAACTGCTGACTAAAATGAACTGCAATACCATAGTGATCAGAGCAACTTGCCGAAGTGTAAAGAACCTTAGTATTTTGCAATTTTTGTATTTTGATTTTTAGTTATATTAAGCTTATGTATGTTAAAATCATTTTTTTCTCATCACATTGATTTAATTATTTTGTATAAGAATGATCTCTCATAAGTTGTTTTTTAAGGTTCAATAGAAATTGTTAATGCCCTTTCAGTGTGCTTTATGCTATAAAAATTGGAGTATGGGCTTTACCTGAGCTTTGACCCTTGTGTAAAACGTTTCTGCATACTGATATGCCTCTTATCATATTGTTACTGTTTGTTGCCTGAATTTTGTAGTTACCTAATTTTTGTAACTGGTTACTCAACATTTAAAGGAACATGAATTTAAGACTTGAAATCAAATGCGCACATAAAAGTGGCATCTCTGCTTTTAATAACTTATGGTTTGAGAGATTAATTAGTTTGCTTTAGGCAACAAACAGTAACAATATGATAAGAGGCATATTGTTACTGTTTTTGTAACTGGTTACTCAACATTTAAAGGAACATGAATTTAAGACTTGAAATCAAATGCACACATAAAAGTGGCATCTCTGTTTTAAATAACTTATGGTTTGAGAGATTAATTAGTTTGCTTGCTCCTTGTTGTTTGCAGGTACCTAAGAGGGAGAGAAAGAGCTGAAGGGAGGAAGATAGAAGAAATACTGTGTGTACCACTCCAAACTCTGCTGTTTGGTTAGAGAATGCATAACTGTGAAGAAAGTTCTTTGTAACACATATACAAACTCAAAACTGTTCATTTGTAGTTTTCTTGCTCTAATTCTACTTGTGGTCAGAGTCTCTGCAGTGCAGAAAGTACCACTCCAAACTCTCTGCTGTTTGGTTGGAGTAAAGGCATTACTCTGCAGAAAGTTGTTCATAAAACATATACAAACTCAAACTGGATCATTTGTAGTTTTGTTGTATCATGTTTGTTTCTTGATCTACTTCTATGTGCCTTGATTACTATTTTTTCACAAATGAAGTTTGATACTTTCCTGACTTCTTAGTTTCTTTATTTCTTCCTGCATCATCATCAGGCCACACACAAAACATGTCATACATGCCATGAGTTTTAGTTTTGGATTTTATTTGAAAATTATGATGCTATGGGACCGTACGTTTGTGATAATCTGGATCACACATGAATGTGAACTTTGGTTTTGTAGCTATATATAGAATACCCTTTTCTTCTTATAGGTCTGGTTGTTGATGTTTATCACTATTAATGTAAAAAGAGTTCACATGGAATGCTGTTTAGATTTTTAAAAAGGAATAGGCTCCCTTATTGCAGCAGATGTATATAATCTCTCTTTGATTATATATAGATATTATATATAAAATACAAAGAGAGACTAGGATCATTACTGTTGAAAAAGGGTATACTTCTAATCTACAGACTATATTAATAACAATTATATATATATACTTTTTAGGTTTTGAACTAAATAATAAAAGCTTTTTGCCCTCATCAATTTGGTTGTGGTTCTGTGCTTTGCATTTTTTTAGTTTGATAGCTAATTAATATCTTGTCTAAAGCTTTAGAAGTCCAAAAAGATGGACGGTTTTTGGAAAATGTAGCTAAGTAGCTTTAAAAATATCCTTTTTTTCTTCTTTTTCTTTTTCTATTTATTTTTATTTTACAAATAGTTTAACACCTCTTGCATGTCCTTTGTTGCCAAATCTTAAAGTTATTTTGCAACCCCATTGTGGTTTGAAAGGAGGACGTCTCATGTATGATGGTGTCTACGTGTATCATCAATTATTGAATTGTTACAGGGTTAAAATTATAAAACTTCCTTTCTAATTTTCAAAAACAATCCTCTAACCCTTTAAACTAAAAAAACTCAAAAAAACTATCATATCCTTCCCAAAATTGGAGAAGATCACGTGAAAGTCAGCTGACATCTTATCGACTATAATCTGACCAAACTACCGTGTAATAATCTAATGACCAAATTGCCCTTTGAAACACCATGTGAGTAGCAAGCAAGCACATGCCTTAGTTGGAGTTTCTTCTTTTTCACAGTTGCGTCCTCCATTGTAGCACAGTAAGTCTCAACTTATACTTCTGGGCATAACATCTCCATCAACACACCAACTGCACATTGCCATCATCAATCGCTGCCTTCATATGGAATTTCGTGTGCCACAAACACAAGTCCGATCCCGGGCTTTGTTGCCATCAGCAAGCAGCTTATCCAATCACCCAACACCTTTTGTCCTTGTGCGACTCACAAATCCTACAGAATTCTTCAGTTAGAGTAGGTCCAAAGAAATCCATGCTTGTTGCCATAGCTTTTTAAGAACACATTTTTGGTAGAGAGAGGCATATATTTGATGACATCCTTAATTTTGGGGTTAATGAGGCAAGAAACAGCAAGTCCAAAAATGGTGGTTTCTGAGATGAAAATAGAATTGAAGCCAATACTTTTTTTCCTGAATAATTGAAGCCAATACTTCCTCAAGCCAAATGTTGCTGGCAGAAGAAAGTATCACTAGGCAGAAATCAAGGATTACAAGGCTAAAGCTGGGTGATAGCAACACCTCTTATTTCCACAAATCTCTACCACCAAGGTATAATAGAAGAATATTGCTTCTCTTGTCAGCTCTGAAGGTACAATACTCACCTCAAGTGATGATATTAAAGAAGAAGCAGTCCAACACTTCATGAACCTACTTGGTGGATCACCAGCCCCACAACCCAGCAGAGATGTTCTGGCACCATTTATAACCAAAAGAGTGCCATTGCATTTTCTCTCCTCACTTGAAGACATCCCAACATGCTTGGAGATCCAGAGATCGATCCTTTCAATTAGCAGTGACAGAGCTTCTGGTCCTGATGGGTACAATGCCCACTTCTTTAAGCAGTCTTGGCATATTGTAGGTCCAACCATCATCAAAGCTGTCAAGAAATTCTTCATTAATGGGATGCTTCTGAAGGAATGCAATGCAGCTTACATTTGCCTGGTGCCAAAGAGTCCAAACCCTTCCTCCCTCGATGACTGCAGACCAATTAGTTGTTGTAATGTCATTTACAAAGGCATTGCAAAACTTCTTGCCTCTAAGCTTCAACCCACCCTCCCACATGTCATTGAACCAACACAGACAGCTTTCATCCAAGGCAGGAAAATCACTGATACTATTCTTCTGGCCCAAGAGTTAATGAGGGGCTACCACAGCTCCAATCTTGCTCCTAGATGTGCTTGGAAGGTTGACCTTACAAAGGCTTTTGATAGCGTAAATTGGTCCTTCATCATTGACACCCCACCCCAAGTTAATCTCATGGATTCATGCTTGCATCACATCACCTACATTCACCATAGCCATAAATGGTGAATTTCATGGCTACTTCAATGGGACAAGAAGCCTTAGACAGGGTGACCCAATATCTCCATAACTATTTATCATCTCAATGGAAGTCTTATCCTGCATTATCAAGAAATATGTCATGCAAAATACATCTTTTAAGTACCATTGGAGATGCAAGGAATTGGGGATCACTCACTTTGCGTTTGCTGATGACCTACTGCTGCTATGTCATGGAGACATTGCCTCAATCTCCACTCTCAAGTCTGCACTTGACCTCTTATCGTCCTCCTCTGGTCTATCTATCAACCCATCAAAGAGCTTTGTCTTCTTTTCAGGTATGGATTACTCATGTGAGCTATGGATGTCTTCCTTCCTGGGAGTTGATATTGGGTTCTTACCAATGAAGCACCTTGGCTAGGAGTACCTCTCATCTCCACTGGTCTTAAGGCTGCGGATTGCAATGTATTGTTAGACAAAATCACTACTAGAGTCACCTCCAAAAGCCTTTCTTATGCAGGCAGACTTGTGCTCATCTCTACCCAGTTGTACTGGTCAAGAATTTTCATTATTCCCAAGAAAGTCATAGATGGCATCAATGCTCACCTGAGAAGGTTCCTCTGGTCTGGATCCCGGGTTGCTTGGTCCTTCTTTTGGAAAGCCAAGTTTGAGGGTGGTCTTGGGCTCCCAAACCTTGAGCTGGCCAACAAGGCGGCAATTTTAAGACACTTATGGGATCGAGTTGAAAACTGGGAACAACTAGAGAATTTGGGTTCAATGGTGTAGGACTTACTTGTTCAATGATAGTAGCTTCTGGACAATGAGAATCCCCCAGGCTTGTTCTTGGAGCTGGAGGAAAATTTTGCAGCTAAGGCCAATCGCCGGAGAATTCATCTTCTACCAGGTAAGGAGCGGTGAACAAACATATTTCTTGACGGATAACTGGTTAGATACAGGTTCGCTAATTGATATCTTCATTCTTTCACTAGGTTCATCATTATCCACAAAGTTCAGCTCATCCGTAAGCTCTGCGCACCAAATCATCTCCATCCTCCCTGAACTACGCCTGCTTAATCCACCTAGCCCAAACTTGCAGGATAAGATTGTTTGGAACTCAAGCCCCTCGGGTGCGTACGCATGCACTTAGAGATACACTTGCTGCAATCACTCCCTACCCTAATGTTTGTTGGTCGAGCCTTATCTGGGACTTGCTTGCCATTCCCAGCCAAAAACAGCTACTTTGGATCGCAATTCAGGGTAAACTCCCTACATTAGACAGTTAAATCATGAGGAAAGTTGAACCAAAACAATGTCACCTATACTCGGTCAAGCCGGAAACCCGCTCCCACGTCTTCTTTGAATGTGATTTCGTCAAGCCACTATGGAGCTTCATCCAGGATAAATGTAGATTTTACACCAGAAGCGGGAATTGGGCCCAATTTGTAATCTAGGCAAGTCATCATTGGGTCAGTACTCTTGCCCTCTCAGCCATGGCTTATAACATATGGCAAGAAAGGAATTTTCCAGTCATCACAATCAGAGGTTCTCAAACCACTCACCGGCGCCATCGTCAGCACACTCAGCCAATCGAAGAAGGAAAGCATCTCCGCCCTCGCTCACTTTGAGAGGGTACTGGAGATGCTCTGACTTTCGAATTCAAGAATAGAAGACAAAAGGAGGAGAAGTACCCAGACATCAAGGGCTCTGAGTGAGACTAAAAAAAAAAAAAATTTAAGATCATGATTGGCCACAACCACAAACAACAAAAGTACTGTATCACTATAAATAAAAACGGAAAGAAAAATCGGGGAGAGAGATGGGAGATATACTAATCTATTTAAGAAGATATAAGGACTCTTTTGTCATTTTAATTATCATAAACAAGAGGTAGAGTGTCATAGTATAACTGTGGAGCCATAATAACTTCTTCCTTCTTTCTTTTGTTTTTCTTTGATAAAGCTAACTTGGTTTATTTATTTGATACGATAAACATAGATGGTATTTTACTTTAGTTGAATTATTACTTGATAAACCTAAACTTAATTATTTTAGGTTTAGTTGAATTACTACCTCACAAATCTAAACTTAAGTATTTTAGTTTTAGTTGAACTATTATTTTTATTATATAAAATCCAATAAATCACAGTATTTTCAACTTATCGCAATCAACTCCTTTTCTTTCTCTACTACAGAGATGGAACCTCTCAGCGAGAATGTACTTTTGCTGATCCAGCGTTTTAGCAAGGTGACTGTACTTCATTTTCTTCTTTTTCTCTTTTTGATTATTTTTTTTCTTTTATTTTATTTTATATAAATATATATATATTTTTTTTGACAGATGAGCCGGAAAGAATTAATGAATTGGTGGAGTACGTAACTTATATGTTGGTTCTCAATAACGGTTGACTATTGCAGAGAAGCATGTATCTCTTGTAGAGAAGCATTTATCGAAGCATGTATCAGTGAGTACATATATATTATATATATATTTAAATGGAGCTTTTCTCAATTAAGGATAAAAAAAGAAAAAAAATTAAATCCTTTGGTATCCTAAAGATGAAAGAAATTACCTGCTCTTAAAATTCTTAGAAATCCTAATGGTGACAGTTCATTGCACATTTGTTTGTATAGTTACAGAGTGATTGAAGGCTACAACTTATCCTCATTGTTGTTATAATAATGAAAATAATGTTTCTATTTTTTTTTTTTTGGATAAATAAAAATAATGTTTGTATCGCAATTTACATATACATATATACTGAAGTTAAATCTTACTTTCTGAATGCAGAACTAGAAAATTCTTGCAATCTCTGGTATGCCTTGGGTATTGTGTCTTCTTCCTATGGAACAGTCAACTCCTTATCGATGGATAATATAGTAAATAGCTCCATTGTACATTTTACCTTTTATATGGTGGTGTTCATACATTTTTTTATCTTATGCCACGCAACAATTATATTCGAAGAACGCGTCGCTCATAAACTTCAGCATAATCACCGAATTCGGAGTTTAGCAAAGTTTAAGAGATCGGTGATCACTCTATGTGTAGTTTTTCTTTTGCGACATTTGTGGAAGGATATTGATAGATGTCATATGTGAATATCGTTTACTACAGAATATTATGTGTTTAGACAACTACTTTATGGTGACGAATTCATATTGGACGTGTTAATGGACGCTTTCATGCAATTCGCTGTGGTTTATCAGAAAGACGACGATATATTTCTTTGGATCACAAATTTGATAATATGTGCTGCTGTTATATACTATCGGCATTGTTCAAATTCAACATACTTCAACCCCATCGACGAGAATATTAGTTTTCCATCAATTGATCAGACTACAAAAAGAAGCTTTTCTTCCAGGGACGAAACTACAAAAAGGAGGAGGGAGAACGAGACACCAACTCAAACCTTTTAATATTTCATGCCGTTTAGTGCAACATATTTATTTTTAGAATTTATCTTTTAATTTATATTTCTCTTATGTTTTTTTTTTTTTTTTTTTTTTTTTTTTTTTTCATCTTCCCTCTACATTTTTTAGACTCGCCTTGTATGTCCCCTCTGGTTGAAAAGGAGGACGTGGTATCTATCAATTATTTAATTCTTACATAGAAAATGAAATATGAAAGAACTTTTGGATATCTATTTTATACTTTAAAATATAAGGATATATATATATGTTCTAATTTTAATTAATATCTCTAAATAATTAATACTTAGACTTTGTTTGTTTTGATGTAAAATAACTTCCTTGAAAAATATATATTTTTTTACTTTTTAATGTTTGGGCAAAGAGATTAAGGTCAAGTCTATAGTGTGAAACTTGTAAAATAACTTGTTGAAGTGTAATGGGTGAGTTATTTGGTTAGATTTTAATTTTTTTTCTTCCTAAATATTTTACAAAATCTAAACACTAAAAAAATAAAAAATAAAAAATTTATATCCTAACAAACAGTAATTTTCTTAAAATATTCTAAAATATAGCCTTATTCAATTTGATTGGTAGAGAACCATTTGACCATACACACATCTCACACAACAATTTCTCACTTCTATGGGAATTTCCAGGTTCATCAACTATATATATATAGGACAGAGAATATTTGAAATAGTATTGTATTATGATCTTAGTTATATTAAGCTTATTTTTCAGATATGTTGGGAGTCACTTTTTTCTGATTACATTAATTTAATTATTTTATATAAGAATGATCTCTCATGAGTTGTTTTTTTCTTTTCTTTTTTTAAGAAAGAAAAAAAAAATAAAAAATATATATATATATATACACACACACACACAATGATGTTGCTTTGTTGAACTTCGTTATGTTAGGAGTACTGGTCTTACTTCGAGACCTTTGTATACACGTGGCAACGAAAAAGTATTACCCAGTCCATGATGTATCTCAGTCAAATGACAAACTATGACACGAAATAATGTGCTAATTTTATTTAACTTTTTATGAAAAATGATATTTCAACCCAAGTATTTGATCGATTATTTTAATAGAAATTACGTGATTTGTCCAGCTAAGTTACTCCCTTCTCTTTCTCTCTCATCTCTTCTCTCTCTTTTCTTTCTTTTTCTCATTCTATTTCTCTTTCTAATATCTTTTTGAAAAAATTTTAAAGACCGTGAAGAATAATACAATCAAACAAATAAATACACATATCTACCTTCAAAAAAAAAAAAATTATGCATATGATACAATATATATATAAATATGATATATGATATGAAGTTGCAACCATATTTTAAAAATCAAAAGTTCTTTCGCTTTATTTTTTTTTCGGTAATTAAAAGTTCTTTTTCTCTTCAAGTTAAGATGATAAGAAATATTGTTTGAAGAGACAAAACAAAGAGAGAGAGATTTGATAACTATAAGAAGAAAAGAACTTAGCTTAAAACTTGACAGTCTGGGAAAGATGAATCTGCAGACGCGTATATTGTTTCTCTTTTTATTTTCTTTCCTTTTTTTAGTTGTTAAAGTTGCTTACCTGAACTGTCATGTGTATTCTGACAAACTTATCGGCCCATCTATCACTACCCATTTTTTATTAGTAAATTAATATTCATCGAAGCTGTGTAATAATTTCTCCTACTTAATTGGCTGATTCAATTCCATGACCAGGTTGCAATAGAGATCTTCATCCCAGATCGAACTGAACTTCATTGCTAGCTCGATCATCTAAGAATTGTATTATTTATTTATTTTTTGCTAAAAGAACTTCCACATCGTCTAGGGAAATTTTTTTTTAATATTTTTGTGTGACCATTCCTTAACCCGGAAGACACGTTTTCAGCAAAAATAATGATATGATCAAATTCGGCGTGAGCAAATAAGGGCTCAACCTCTTTGTAGATAAGAAATTATTATGGAGTTGGGATTATATGGTCTCGATAAATAATAAATTATAACGTAAATATATATGTGAATTGTATTAGATTTTTTATTAGGGTAAGTGGTACGCTTGAAATATAAGAACTTGAAGACTAAAATACCTTTGTACCCTCCATTATATATAGTTCTTCTTGGATGTCTTCTTCGGTGCGTGATGGTTGTGGAGGTTGCGATGGTGGTGACTATTGTGTCGTTGCTATATATATATAAATAGATATATATATATATAGAGAGAGAGGGGGGAAAAGAGTAATTTGGCCATTTAATTATTTTGATAAATAGGAAAGGGTAAAGTAGAATTTTTTACATATTTTAAGGTTATATTTGGATTGCAAATCTCACAAGGAGATATCATTATCTAAAAATAAGACAATTTATATAT